AGAATAGACACTACACCACAAGTACTGTAGAATGTGGAATACAGAAATACAACTTGTGTGTGTCTCTTCAGTGTTCTCCAGAAGTGACCATTTTCAGTACAATTAAATTTATCTCAAACTTTCACTGGACTGTGCTGTGACTCCTTGCATCCCTACAATGTGCAACAGTACTCTTTGCAATGAGCAAGTTATACAAGTGACATCAACCTTTCTGAATCCTAGATGTAAAACTGCCATACTGGAAGACCTGGTCTGGAGTGTTGGAAATATCCCCTAGCAGCAGAGAAGTGCTGTGCACATTCAGAGCCTGTGAGCAACCAGGATAGAATCTCAATAGGGGCAGGGAGGTCCTGGAACAGAGCTCTGGCATAAACTAAGCACGGGTTAAGTGTCTATAATTATTCATTTTGTTCTTTGGTTTCCAAATTTTCAATGAAATTATTATTTGAATAATGTTTTCTAGCAAAGGGTTAAGGTACAGCAATCAGCTGTAGATATAATCTATCTCTTTTGAAGAAGTGTTAACTTGTTTAACATAAAAATGACAGCTTCCATAATTCATTTCAATTCTAAGGGATTATAAAGCAGAAAGGACATGGTAACATTTTTGCTAAGGTGAGTGAGTTGAAGATGATTTTCAGAGCCTGCTGGGAAAGAGGGTGTAAAAGACTATGGAAAGTCTGGAGCTATCATCCAGAGGAATGATGTGAGATTGATAAAAAATATTTCTTTTATTGTTAGCTTTGCTTTATGGCAAATATATTTGTGTTTACAAAGTCCACAAATAGTCTATCTGCCACACTGGAATTGATTGAGGGAACATAGAGGGTTTAATTTCAGCTTCCAGCTAAAGGTTAGGCTTTTGTTTCTGATACTGTGATTTGTGTTTATTTTAAAACTTTTCACAAATAAAGCACTTTATCCAGTAATACAATGAAAAAAACCACTCCTCCTGTGTTTAAAATGCCTTCATTTTCTCAGTATAGTTCTGTCTACTAGCTTTAAAGAGCCTGGATGTTGTGCACTGCACTTCGATCTGTCACTCTTGTCAATAATTGCTCCTTTCTTTTAATAATGTGTATAGGTGCCTGGTAATGGATTTTAAAAGTGAAACGTGGGAGAGACTGTTTCCCTAAAGGGATGCTTAATGAACATGTACTACAGAAGACAGTCCTCTGTGGATATGTGTGTGTGAAGAAACAAGACTAATAGCATGGCTAATGGCTTTGTTCCACTGGCCTTAGTCGCTAAACACCTGTGCTCTTTTATTGCCTTATCTATCAACATGCCTCCTCCACATGGCATGAAAAAAGTCAGTCTTGAGCAGTTAATAGGTGTTGAAGCCATTGTTCCTCCCTAATCTTTTGGACACACTGTGACAATCAATGCCTGCTTTTACGTTTTAAGATTTGAATCTAGTTATCTAGAGAAACATGAAGAAAAATGGATAGAAAAAATCCTGAATTAAATTGAAGCTTTTGTAAAACAGGGTACTGTGAGTAAACTGAGAGCATGAGACTGTTAATGCTACCAGTATGCACGGAGATGATGACACTGAACTGATTTGGTCCCTTTCTGAAAACAACAAGGTGTCTTTAGTCAATTTGGTCAACAATATCTATTTTTAGTAAACATCTGATCACATATAATTTGAGATTTTTGGGGAGTGTGGGGTATCTTGCAATGTCCATAGACAACCAGACAGTTGATTATATAGGAACAAGAAATAGGTTTATTCCACGCTGAAAAGAGAAGTAAGAAAACACAACGTTTCGGCCGTGGAGCCTTCTTCAGATGACTGTATACCTGTTTTCGTATGATTTGTGAATCTTATGTACTGGCTATATCAGAACCTATAGCATCTATTTAAATTATGAGGAACAGTGGTTCAAATACAGCTCCATTTGGTACTCCACTAATTACTGTACATCACACCAATTTAATATTTAGCCCTCGCATATGCTGTTAAGTATGTTTAATATCCACTATCTACAGTAGATCTAACTCCAAATGCATGCATTAGCTTGGATGTCTTCCATCTTCTATTTCATAATGATTCTTTTATGTTATGGTCTTGTGGAAATTGTATCATGTTTATATCCATATTATCCATCTTTTTTTATACAGTATGTCTGTTCTAATAAGCAACACAAACTACCACTGTTCTGTAGAACCCTATTATAATAAAGATGTTCTTGATAAATTCTTATTATCTTGTCCATAACCTTCCATGTACAGTAGCAGAAGTCAAATTTATTGATCTATAATTAATGGCTCTATAACAAAATACTTTTGGATCCTCAGATTCATACAATTGTAACAAGATTGTGTCTGGAATGTTTTACACTGATTACACTAAGAAGGGCAAATAATCTAAAATTTTGTGTGGTATGGTTGCACAAAATGCCAATTTGTACCATTAAAGAGAATGTAATGCAGCATGAAGTCATTGGTTAAATAGGAATTGGATTGTAAAGTGCTTTGGAGCTCTAGGATTTGATGCAAAGCACAAAACAGTTGTCACGATCCAAAGCCCAGGTGTATGAAGTTTGAATTTGGTTGCTGGATAAGATACAGTTGTAAATCCCAGTTGAAGTCCTGCATCAATACACAATCTGTTCACGACTGTGATTTTTTTAAAAAGACAATTATTTGTGAACCAATCATGCAGCATTCTGTGGGAGTATTTCATACCTGTATTCTTTTGGAACTTTACAGCCAGAATAATTCACAGCTTATTTTGTTATAAAAAATCCCACCTAAATCTATATATATATGGAGACATAATGTTCAAAGATACATGGCAACCACACAATTACAGTATGTGTCTGTTTGAAATGCTGAAGGATGGCTGAATCTTTAAAAAAAAAATATGTCCTTTCAAAAATGTCATTTTATTAGCAATATTGTTTTCCAAGAAAAATGCTGTTACATCAATGGGTCTGTGCACCTCATTACAAAACTGCCCTTTTAATTTCACAGTTGATGAACAATATTAAGAATAGAACTCTATGGATACTTGTCTACTTGTTTCATTGTAACTATACCCTTATTTGCTTTGCTGCATGATTTATAACTTATATAACATATATAATACAAAATGGGTAAAACATATAACACTGCTTTGAAATGAATGAACCTCTCTATGATGCAAAAGTAAAACAATAGTCAAATGATAAGAAAAATTACACATTAGAATTTAATGGATGAATTTAAATAATGTCATAATTCAAAATTGTATCAATTGCAAAATCAATAATTCATTTTAAATCCCTAGCAATGGAACATTTGTTTAAATCCAGTGCACCAAGTAAACTTGGATTTAATTGGTCTAGATTTGCTTTTAAATCATCTGTAGTCAAAACAAAGGTGTATGCATCTGTATTAAGATCAATGTGCTGTAGGACAGTAAATAAGGACAAATAGCAAAAGCCACTGGGTAACAGTTCTGCTCAATTGTGCAGTTGTAGCATATGCGCTGATGTCAGCACCTTACAGTCCAATCTGAAAAGGATAGGTCTTTCCAAACAGGTCTGTCTGCGTTTCCTTAGTATTATATATCATTTTTAGCAGAAACACTGGACATATGTTGGCATCAGCATATGAGTCTATAGCCACTTCCTTCAGAGTCATAGTTTTGTTAAAAATATAGTCTTTTGTTTTTGTTTCCTGAAACAAACACAGACCTTAACACTATCTGTAAATTTGACAAAACAACTTCTCTGAATTCCTTCTGGAATCCAGTATCCTTCTTGGTATTGTCTCTGTCTCCCACCACTCAGCATTTACTCTTTAAACTGACATACAGTATGAGAAAGATTTCCCCAGCAACAACCGATAGTAATTAGTGAAATTAATGGACAAATAAACCAAACACGGAAATTAATCACTGTATATGCACTGTAATATATATCTATGGAATTTTTTCTTCACTTTACTAAGTGTATCCAATACATATTGTCAATGACTATTTCATTACAGGAATGGTATCAAAAAGATTAGAGATACTGTATAAAAAATACCTCTCCTGGCATGATGATTGCGATTCTTAAGTATATCTATCTAATGAGAAGAAGGAAATTGCAAAATATACAGTAGTATAAACCTCAGATCAATAAGCAGAGTCCCTTGCTATAATCACCGTAGAACTGGAGTTCATCCAAATCAATGTAACAGGTGACCAAGGAAATAAGGATTAGGGTGGGTGCTGCATTTTTCAATTTCCTCAGATATAATAGCTTCTAAGCCAAAATAGGCAGATGAGAAGGAATGTTGCTGAAGGCAGTATGGCAAGTAATGGGAAAATGTCTTCATGACAATGAAGCATTTCCAAAAACGAAATTGTAGAGAATTAACTTTGATTTGACCCTGAACCTTAGATTTCATTTCTCTGTGGCATCATTACTGATGAGACAGCACCTTTTCTTCAAAAAAAAGATTTTCTTTTCTTACTAAGGACTTATATGTAGCTGATCCTTTTTTGTTGGTTTCTGAGACAGTCTCGAAATTGCCACAAGCACAATCTGATACTTGCAAAACAGACTTTTAATAGCTACATGAGACTGTAAATGAATTATAAATTGAACTCAAAGAGACCCTGTTATACATAAAGGCAAACTGACTATTTTGTTCAACTTAGGGAGGATATTAAGGCTTTTTGTGTGTGATAAGGATAGACTGTATATATATATAATGATTTATTGACGACGTCTATTTAAATCTCTATTTTAGCCAGTACATTCTACCCATATTATGATTTTTACTAAGTTAGGTTTTACAGCTCTGCCGACCATATTCTTTTTAATCCATTAAAAAGCTTTTCATCAGAAACTAAGAAATTGAGTGTTGCATTTTAGAAAAAAAAACAAATGTAAATGTTAGAAATAGGTTAAGCACATGAAATATAATCTTCATACACAATTGTAACTGTACTACTTTCTATACCTTACATTATGTCTTTCTAACGTCTTGCCAACAACTGTTTACTGATAGACACCTACCTTTTCTGCAGATTGAGCTGTGCCAAAAAATATGGGAATGAAGGCCAGCCACACTATACAGGTGGTGTACATTGTGAATCCAATGGGTTTGGCTTCGTTGAAGTTCTCAGGAACACCTCGTGTCTTGATAGCATAAACTGTACATGTTACCATAAGGAGGATGCTATATCCCAGTGAACAAATAATTTGTAGATCCGTAATGTCACATTTGAGAACTCCTCTGGCTTGGTCAGGGTTGATTGTCTTCTGCTCATCATAATCAATAATAGTGTTGGGCGGATCCACTCCAAACCAAATGAAGACTCCCAGGAGCTGGACTGAAATTAGGCTTGATGTGATCGCCAACTGTGAAGTAGGACTAATGAGACGTGGGGCAGTAACAGACTTTTTTCCCTGCTCGAAAATGCGGTAGATCCTGTTGGTTTTGGTCAGCAGAGCTGCATAACTGATGCACATCCCGAGTCCTAGGAAAATCCTCCTGAAGGAGCACACAGCCACATCAGGCTTGGCAATCATGAGAAAGGTGATGATATAGCAAAGGAAAATCCCAGTCAGGAGGACATAGCTGAGCTCCCTACCAGATGCACGTACAATTGGAGTGTCATTGTACCTAATGAATGTGGCCATCACAAAAATCGTGGCAATAATTCCAAGCATCGCCAGGAAGACAGGAATCACAGCCCAAGGGGAGTGCCACTCAAGTTTGACAATGGGAATGGGCTGACAGCCAGTGCGATTCTCATTGGGACGCATGTTGTAGGCACACAGCTTGCAGGTGGTTTCATCATATTGGTATTGGTATCCGTCACATGGCTCGCAATGCCAGCAGCATGGCATTCCTTTCACCATTTTCTTTCTATAGCCCATTTCACATGGTAGACTGCAGACAGAGCTGGGGATGTCTTGCTCTCCATTGGGCCACTGCATGTCATCTACCTAAAGAAGGAAAACAAGAGACATTCATTACTAGGAACAGATCTCCGAAGAGAGAATCCGAACAATCTTACTACCATGTGGAATGGATTGCATTATGTACTGTATCTGGAGGGGAAAGATTGTTACATCTTTAAACTATAATACTACTTTAAAATAGTATTGTACAATTGCATGTAGCTGTTGAGTGTTACATTTAAACATTTCTGTCAAGAGATAATACAATGGTGACAAAATGCTAAGAACTAAATGGAACACTCAAAAAACAAATATACAGTACCATGTAGACTGCTCTCATTTATCCTGTATTGTAATGCAGATGATTATGGAAGGTTGATATAAGTATTACCAGTGTAAAAGAACAGTAAGAAAACTGGGCAATTTTATTCTGTATAAGACTTTGATGATTTGTAGTGCCAGTTTTAAGATGGTAAGACTCTGTCAATATCATATACTGTACAGTAGTAATGGGTATGTAAGGTTGTTCAAATGAGATACATGAATGGAATTATGATGAACATGCCTTTTAAAGATAAAAACAAAATTCAGTTTTTTTTTTAAAGAGCACATTGTGTTATACTGTTCAACCGTAATACCATAATACAGTACCTCAAACACAAACACTGCAGCTATTTGTCCTTTAATATGCTATGATGCCTAAATCAATATTCAGGTTGAGTTAGTAGAATCTCAATTAAGAACTGACATTACTTAACAGATGTTTTCAGAACACTCTAACAAGGTCTTGTAAAAAGACTAACTTTTCAATGGCTTTATAATGAAATTATTTTAACTGCTTAAGTCATAGAGGAAAAGAGATAGAAATTTGAGCAGCAAATTGAGCAAAAGACCCAAAAGGTAAAAGATTAAACAGGTATTATTTTGACCTCCTCATCGACTTTCTGTATTAACTGTCATCACCATGGAAACCTCAAAAGCAGAGGTTGCAGAGGAGATCACTAATAAGCAACAAGCGGGTGATAACTAAGTAACCCTTCTTCGCTTTGCTGATTCTGTAGGCAACTGTTATTTGAATGTTAATTTTCAATTTCAAAAGGTGATTTGAATAAAATCAAGTCTAGGAAACTCTTCTTTGTGCCCAGAACATTTTTAAACCAATATTAACAGTTTCTTGGGGGAATGTTATTTAATGTGACAAATTTAATGTTGTCAAAGATCATGCTGCCAAAACCTGCTATGCTATAATTACTTAAAGGAACTCATAAAGGTGTGTTAAAATTAAGTGAATGAGCTAACCTGAAATTTTCCTCAAAGAAATGTTGAAAACGTACAGGCCATTATATAACATTCCAGAAAGGAAAAATAATCTAGAATCATACACATATTTTGAAGCAAAGTGGTTGTCAAAAATAAATGATGAAAAACATTATAATATAAAATTATTTTTGGAAAAAAAATCATGTAAAAGCAAAATTACTTAACAAGTGTAGGTGGCCACAGGCTACATACTGGCTTCTTCATGCATAACCGTGAAAGAAAGCCTGACACACAGGGAGGGAGGAAGAAAAGCGTATTTAAAGTTGATGACGCACTTGCAAACTGGCATATTAGACACACTGCAACATTCCAGAAGTAGAACAATAGAAACACAGCCATCTTCCTGGGTTAAAATAGAACTAACCTGAAGCAGAAAGACAATCTGCTCTGCAACCCTCTCATCTTTTTTTCCCCTCTGTTCCCTCCTCCTTTATTTTTCTTGACACCATACAAAGCTTGTTATATGCTAAGCGACATAATTTTCAACTTAAATTACATGTCTGACAAGCCGCAAATCTCTGCAGGTTCACCTTGTTAATCTCAAACACAGGTAACTGCAGGACACTGTTTTAAATAAGATACAGTTATAATAACATAAATCTGGATGCTGTTTTAATTTAGTTCCCTGTGTCATGGTTGGTACTGCCCCTACTTTTTTAAGCCCTATACTTATTAAACTGTAATCTTTTTGTGAACTGAATACCTCACATCCAATTGAGATGCACATACAATACAGAACAGCTTCCTGAGTTTTTAAGCAGGTGGGCAATGCGATTTAACTGCATTCTTGTCTCAAATCAACAAACTCTCTGGAGAGGGAAAAGTCTTTTTCTTATTTCTGTCAGGTTGACATGGCTGCAATGACATTTCTCAATCCTCAAGTCATATATTTTGTCAGTTTTGAATGCTGAGTGACACAGTGTCAGTTGCATTCAGCACCAATTTTAGGTGTAAAAAAAATGTATCTATGAAATGAAATGAGAGAAATGAGAGAGAACAATATGCTTTGGGTGGAGATAAAATAAACTCGCCCCTCTCCATATCGCCAGTTTAAAATTCCATGGGAGTTTCAATGCATTTTCTGTTTTTCTGGTTTTATAATTTATAATTCATGTTTTACAAGACCCACTTCTTCAGGCAAAGTGGGGTAAGTAGAAATAATAAACAACCATGAACCAATCAAGACCAACGTGAGGAGGATCTCTATCAACTTTTATTATACCTGTAGCTACTGAATGTTATCATTCAAGGCCAGTCCTTATTTCTAATGCTTCATAGAGGCCATGGTGCCGCTTGCCAGTAATTCTGTTTTGCTGTAAAACTAATACATCTAATGTCAGGCAACTTCTCTCACCACCCAAGCCATCGAAAGCAATGGCCTCCTTTTTCACCTCTAGTGAAATTGCAGCACTCATACTGGATGCTGCCATCAAATCACAAGTGACTCCAACAAACTGCTGCCTTATTACCAGCCCACACTTAATCCATGTGCCGAGGGTGACAACAGGATGAGGGGATGAAACTGAGGAAAGAAATCATGTAGGAATAAAAAATTGCAGCAATGAAGTCAGCCTACTACAATAAACACTTCATGTAGTGCCCTTGAGAAGATCTAAGTGCCTATTCATTCCAGGTTGTGCTGGTTGCATTTTATCATATTGTTGTTGTTTTTTTTGTGCTTAATTTACAAAAGTGATCATACCCGAGTCTGAAAGTTGGAAAGTGGGCCTACATTTGGGTCTTCCTGTTAATAAGACCTTTGTAAACCTTTATACATATGCAGCTCAGATACTGCTCTAGCTTAAAGCTCCCTAGAAAAAAAATATTTTGGAATTATTACAATTGACATTTGTTTACAAAGTAAGAATATGAAGTGGTTATCTTTTTAATTTCCTGAAATAAGTGAGGTATCTTAAAACCTAATTTGCTTAGATTTAAGGGATGTTTTTGTTCTATTTTCTGTGCTTCAAAATCTATACAGGTACCAATCTTTTCGTTACCATTCCATATACAGTACAGTAAACAATAGAAAGGCATTTCTTTTGTCATTGCAATCTGAGCTGTTGAGCGACAGGATCTAGTTTTAACTGTTTATACTGTTTTGTACACTTTCCAATAGTGCCTTACTTATGTTTCTCATACTCCCTTTTAACCTCTGTTCTGGACTTCTTTTTCTGAGTCAATTTACTCACTGAAAGAAAATGCCTTAGATAAAGACCTTTCAGTCACACTTAACAGCAGTTAAGAGTGACTGCAACACTCAAGCTCTGGCAGGGATGTCTTTTTTGGGGAAGGGGGGTAGTGTTCTCCAGATACTCGTTAGCTTCATTTGTGGTTACTACCTGAAGCAATTTAGAGACAACCACTGGGGTTTAATTTATCATTTGGACTTTAGGGTTCTCGAGTCCCAGAGCTCATAATTAAGCATGGTGTGGAAATTGTAATGAGATTAACTGTTGCTATGGAAACAAAGCAAGATCCTTCTTCAAGGACTTATTTTTCATGAAAAAGGAAGCAATTTGATCTACTGTAAAAGTATGCAGGAAACTATTGATAGTGAAAAAATACAGATGTACTGTATCTGTCAACCTTCTTGATCTTCATCATGGTGGAGGTATTGCTTAATGATTATTTCAAATGTATGTAAAATCAAGTTTTATGGGCTATGACGCCCGAAGAATGCTCCACAGCCAAAACGCTATGTTTCTTTTCTTCTCTTTTCATGGAATAAACCTTTAATTGTTCCTTTTTATGGATTAGACTTTTATTCCACAATTGTGCATTTTAATGAATACAAGAATACAATGAGAAACTCAATATTCTGTAATATGATATGAACACATTTTATTATATTTTTTAATATTAGTTTTTTCTTCCTTTTGTGTTTCTTTTTGCTTCTTCAGTTTAACCATTACTGTTAAGACAGATCACATTGAGCTGCAGCACACACATACAGTAATGCACAGTTTACACTTAGATTTGGAGAGGGCTTCCTTCCACTCTATCAGTAAGATGGAGGAAATTTAGGTAGTAACCAATACAACAACATGAGGACTACTGTAAATTTCACAGGTTCACAATAATATTAAAATAAGACTCTTATGATGACATTGCCTCCTAGAACTCCCATTAAAATTGAATCCTACTGGAATTCTTGGATACTGCTGATGGAAGGTAATACAGTACAGTATGTGCCTTAAGGTTGAGAATATCCCTGTGAAACAGATCAAATCCTGTCTTTGCCTGAGCTACACAAGCTCCGGTATTGTCATGACTCAAATAATTCAGAAGGCAAGAGTGTAACAAAGCCCCTAATGAGACTGTTATGGTGTTGTAGTGCTTTAGACTTCCCACTTACAGTATGTTGAGTTCTGCTATGGCATGATTATTCAGTTTTTGGTTTGCTGTATGACTTGGGAGTAAGAGTATGCTTTAAAAACAGCGACAGAATTTTAGCCAGGTATTCCATGCTCACAATATTAATCCTATGGTAACACAACTATCTATTGTTCAGCACACAAAATCTACAGGTAGCCTTAGGACTGTCCCATTTTTAGAAATGTAATGACATTTTACAATCACCTATAATCACAGGTACAGGTAATATTTTCATACTAAAGTGGTTTATTTCATATTCAAAAACAATGCAACTAATGTGCAGATAAATGTGTAAAAAGGAAGATAATTGACTGTATCCATAAAAATAATAACATAACCAACTAATA